CACATATATATATACACAAATGTTTTTTGGATACAGTAAATAAGGTTAAAACCTCTGCCAGGTTATTTGTTGCCACTTGTCCTGTAAGGGAGATGTCCCTTTACTTTCTGTCTTGGTGATGCAACAGGAAGTGAGAAAATCTCCCCAAAGTAAAAGAAATTCCCCTCCTAGATAGCTGGAAACAGAACAGGGGATCCCGTTGGAAGATTTACCCTCACCTCTTGTTCTGGTGACAGCTCTAACATTTTGGATCTTCCAGCACTTTCTGTCAAAGTGACAATGATCACAAAGACAAATAAAAGGAGAGAACAATAAAAACTTGGCTTATTGGTGTCTGTGTATTGATGGTTAATTACTGTGATGCTTCTCTTTCCACTGTCCAATCTCAGAATAGGATGGACAGGATTACAAAACCTTTGGCTTTGTATAAGAACGTCTTTACTTATTATTACTTCAGTTAAGCTAGGCCCATATTTTTACAGCCGTCCATGAAGAAACCCATAGAATTACTGGGTGGGTTCTTACAACTGTATACATTGCTTGTCTGACATTGTCTCACAATGAGGTAATCTAAGGACGCATATATAATGTGGGCCTTCACCACAGCTTCAGCACACCCAGCGTACTGCTTGTCAAAAACTGCTGTCAAGACTATGTTAACATTGTCAGTTCAGCAATTCAGCTTCATAGCGGGAAGTGAATCCAGACGAAAGATGGGATTGTTGGCAGATTGCTAAACACAAGATATGTGACACCCTGCTGTGACGAAACATATCACGGTCTGCGCTTCAACGCTTAAATCTAAAATAATAGATGTGCTTACATCGCAGGTGGTTTTATCACAAAATCAGAACAAAGTTTACTGAGAGTGACTATGACCTATCTGAGAGGTGGTTTGATGTTCAAGAAGAAAGGGAAAACATGCATACGATTTTGCTCTAGAGTGCTGATAACGCCGGAATATTTTAAAGACCTTGGATAAAAGTTTTAGTGTAAAAAAAAATCATCCAAAACAGGCCCAATTCTGTGGATAAGAGGCACAGCAGAACAAAGTCCAATACGCTCCAAAGCAGACAGTTCTAATGGAGTGAAATGGTCCTATGTGATTATTGCTACTCTTGACACGGTCACAATATTGAGTCAGATGGACCATGGCTCCAGGACGGTGATAAACTAAAAGGTTCTTATAGACATGAAAGATTGGCAAAAAGAAACTTTCAACATGTATGTTCAAACATCAGAGAAACGGTATTTCACGAACAATCATTTTAAATGATGGGTCAATACCAGCTGAAATGTAAGTTATTTTGGATGGATTTTTTGGTATGCCTTGTCTTTATGAAGATACCAACCTTCCTTAATTGGAAAATAGAGATTATACATCAGAGAATGACCTATACATAAGTAGACTTACAGGCCAGTATAAAGCTGGCCATACCCCTATAGATTATCTGCAGATTTCCTATGGTCAGATGGAAAAAGTGCAACAGGTTCCTCCATCTACGCTAACCTGTGTGGATGGAGGAATCTCCTGCTGGGCCCAGCTTCAGTATCTTGCTAGTCGGCCCCGCTGGCTCTCAAAACACCTGAACAATGCCTGCATCCAATCAGATTGTTCAGGTATTTTGAGAGCCAGCGGGGCCGACTTGCAAGATACTGAAGCTGGGCCCAGCGGGAGATTCTTCCATCCACATAGTTTAGCGTAGATGGAGGAATCTGTTGCACTTTTTCCATCTGACCATAGAAAATCTGAAGAAAATCTATAGGTGTATGGCCAGTTTAAGGGCCTGTGTTGATGGGCTTTTTTCCTACTTTAAAAGGCTTTTTTTAACTAATATACACGTTAATAGGAATTTAACACTCCCTTCAAACAGGATACATGTAGGTCAAATGCACCTGTCAATGAATTCTGAATGATCTCAGAAGCATCTCAAACTGATGTCAAATTAATGTCATGGACACAAGCCCCAAGCCCATCAACTCAGGCCCCGGTTAGCAGACTGAGGCCTGGTATATCTGTGTTAACATCAGTCACAACAAACAAACAAGTGTTAATTGCAAACAACAAAAGTCCTTGTAAATGGTCAACTGCAACTTACACATACAGTTGCGTTCATAAATTTACATATTCCTGGCAGAATTTGCAACGTTATTCATTTTTGCTGCACCGCCACAAAACAGCCACTTACAATACGCCACACAGCATCTAGGAGAAGCCTCAACACTTCTCAGACAAAATCATTGTGATGAAACCAAAATTGAGCTTTATGGTCACAACCATAAACACTATTTTTGGAAAGCAGTCAATAGGGCCTATAAAGAGAAGCACACCATCCTTACAATGAAGCATGAAGGTGAATCTTGGTTTTGAAACAATTGCCAGAGCTCTATTGGCATAGGGAATTTGGCTAAAACTGATGGCAAGATGAATGCAGAACATTATCAGAAAAAAATTGCAATTTATCAGCCTGAACCTGCATATGATGCGGCACTTGGTCCTAGGTTCTGATCATTGTCATCTTGGAAAACCCAAGTAGACTCTTCAGTGGCTGCAGCAATATTCTGGAGTGGCCATCACAATCACCTGACCTCAACAGCATTGAGTCACTTTAGGAGATCTCAAACATGCAGTTCATGCAAGACAACCAAAGAATATACTGCTTTTGTCAAGAAGAACGGGCAAGCTTTACCACATGAGAAAATAAAGGGCCTCATTCACAACTATCACAAATGACCATCATTGATGCCAAAGGGGGCAAAGGATATTAAATACTTTGAGCAGGACAATTTTATTATTTCCTATGAATTGTTTAATGTTATGATACTCTGTAATGCCCAATAATGAATCCTCATTTTACAAATTGTGCCTGATGATTACCATATTACCTTGTTCAAATGATAAGTGTACATGAAGATGAAAAATAATTATTGTACCTTCCTTCCTTGTTCTGCAACACACCATTATTTATTTATTATAATACTGCCCGGGGATGGCAGTGCCTACCAGATTCAGGATATTGTAGGACCACTAGAAACAAGATTAAGTGTCATGCTAATTCAAGGTTCACTAAGATCAGAACCCTGTTCCCCTTTCAAGCTCATCGCATACGCCCAATTTTAGTGCAGCTATAGTGACGTGGTAAACACTGTGCTGGCCCCGGGCAGAGAAGACGGCATTTTCGACATCACTGAGGTGTATCCCATCTGTAAGACACTGTTCTATTTATCATTTCACTGATCTTATGCAGGTTTTTAGGATCATGATCAGCCACAACTATAGCTATAGTGTAAGCTGGTGGATAAAGCTGCTGAACCACAACTTCTTCCCCTAATAAATTATATATTTTGCCTTCGAAAAAGGTAACAATCATTCTTCAAATAACTGCAGTAGTTTCTAAAACCCATTACATTCCATATTGAATTAGACATGCGTAGGAGTGTTTTTGGATAATTAGGCTTGTTAAAAGTTTACTTGAAATAGGAAAATTAGACATGACCCTTCAAGTCAAGTGTTGTAGAGACAAAGTTTAGGCATAGCTGGTTTGTCAGTATATTTTGTATGATTGTGTTGCACAGACATATCCTCCTTGCATCGCACAATCAAAGTCTTCTCACGTATTACTTGCCAATCGTAAATGGCCCATTGCAAATTGAAATAGCCAATAGCAATCTAGCTATTAGTTCCTATGCCTTTTTCTCTTTTCTGACTGACGGCGGCCGGCAGCCCCGATATAAGAAAATAAAAAAAATTAAAAAAACAGACAGCAGGGAAAGGTTTACTCAGATAGAGCAGAGTAAACCTTTCCGGGAGAAAATGTTTCTCTCCCGGGTGTCTGGGAGCCGCTATCTAATAGCGGGAGACTCCTGGAACATCTGCGAAAGTTGAGATGTCTGCTGTAGGTTGTACTGTTTAATCAGCGCAGCACTCAATCTGCTGGCAATCACTACCTACATTCTAAATCAGAAAAGGGAAGGATTGACCCATCTAGAAATGAAACAAATTGGAAATGTGCTGCATGTGACAAAGAGTGCTTCCAATGGTCATTTAGGTTTATCATCACTCCCATGGCATGACCTACACTCTAGTGTCATATCAAGCGGTCATCAGATTCTTTAAAGGAGAACTATGGGGTAAGTGTTTTTCTCCATAGTTCTCCTAGGGGTCACGGGAGGACATAAACTTGCATCCTCCCGTGACCCAAAGCTCAGTATGTCGCGAGCTTGCAGCCTGGACGGATCCCGACACACTTCCCGCCACAGCTGGGAAGGATCCCAACATTACTGTCGAGATCCACCCAGCTGTGTGATTGACAGCTGGCTCTGCCTATCTAGAAATAGAGCCAGCTGTACCCGCCCCCTCCCCTGTCCGCCAGTCAGCACTGGAGGATCTGGGCGTGGGTAATCCCTGCAGGGAGCCGTGAGTGACAGTCACGGCTCTCTGCAGGGAGATGATCGAGAAGTGGGAGATGATCGAGAAGTGAGCGAGTGACGGTATGTGTTCGCTCACTTCCCAATCTATTGAGCCGACGTGTGACAGTCCCATT